CATAATCCTGAACCTGATGGTGTCCTCGTTAGCATTTTAAAAGCCGATGCAACTACGATTTTCCCATCCCTCTTATGCAAGATACTTAATCTCGCTCTTGAAGATGATACCTATCCTATCTTATGGAAGGAATCACACATTTTTCTTATTCCCAAGCATGGCCAATCTACGTCATTTGATGACTTTCGGGCAATAAACACCTTCCCCACAGTTAAGAAGGTCTTAGAGGCATTAATCAAAGATACGATTGTGTCACTTAACAGAGAATAACATACTGAGTGATGCTCAGCATGGATTCCTCAAAGCTCGGACTGGTTTTCAATTCGCCACTTCGACATGAATGGCCTCATCCGGCATATGAATTCTGCCTTGATGATGCCGGTCTCGGGCCTTTTACTTAAGGCCACATACAGCCCAGTCCTGCCTGAACCGCCTACTTAGCCCTTCAAGAAATCCGTCATACAATGCCATATACAGACCGGTCCTGCCGGCTTTTTATATATTAGGGAGCGAGGGCTTTTTCTCACACAGTCCTAATCCAATCATACTCATTTCGTTTATGTTAGGAGTTTTTTTCACTGCTCGCTCAACATTCGTCGTAACATACTACTTATTCAATAACTATGAATTAAGTATTGTATAACTTCTGCATGCCTCGTCTAAAATCCTAAAAGTAATGTAAAATTTACTCTTACTTCCTATGACGGGACCCCCACAGGTCTTGAATAAAAATTATTATTAGGATTATTATTATTTGTGACACCTGTCAGCTCTCTTTCCTTGACCACGTTCTCCAAACTAAGGACAATGGTTTTGCACTTTATACAGTCCATTTCGATTTCACTAAGGCTTTTGGTAGTGTTGACCATGCCCTTCTTCTCTTGAAACTGTCATCTTCCAGAATAGGTTGTAAACTTCTGAATTTTATGTTCTCTTACCGTGGCGTTCGTACACAACGAGTTAAAATTCCCAATGCTATCTCCAACCCCACATGTGTGAGGAGTGGAGGCATTCAGGGTAGTGTACTCTGCCCGCTATTATTTTGCCTTTTCTTACGATGTACCAGATTTATTTCAGAAGGGTAAACCGATGTGCTGAAAGTTGCACACAGGTATAAGCCGGCATATCATGACATCGCGCTCGAGCTCCTAAAGAGCAATCTGTAGGCCTTTGCCCAGTGGTGCCGCGCATGGCGCCTTTTTCTTTCTTGGCATAAATGCTCAGTCATGGTGGTTAGCGACGACAATAAAGCTCAACTAAGTATTGACGGTCACGCCTTAAATGTGCTTGGGGTTACTAAGGACGTGGGTGTATCATACTCCAAGAGCCTCAATCTTTCGGAACACTGCGCCGTGATAGTCTCCAGAGCATGTAGAGCGACCGGGTTTATCCTCCGAAACTTAAAAAACTAGCGATATTAGAATGCGCTTTTATAATATTGCTTTCGACACGGCCTAAAATACCGTTGGTTTTTATTAAGCCTCATGCATGCTGCTGAGAGGAAGAAAATAGAATCCGTTCAACACTTTTTTACCAAGAAAGTTTTAATCCCGGAACACACGCATTTGTCTTACCAAGAACGCTGCCGGCGCACAGGCCTTGATCCTTTGTGGTTTTGAAGATTACAAAAGGGACTATTTTTTTACTATTTAAGCTTTTATATAATCGTACCTTTAACGCACTCACTACTTTATGCAATCATGTCCACCCCGACGTAACAGTCACCGTGCGGTCTTTTTATTTCTTCCTCTGGCGAGTACTGCTAGATATCATCGTTTCTTTTCTGTAAACGCGATTGCTACTTGGAATAAACTACCCAGGAATGCGAGGACTCTGCAAAATTATCCTTTGGTTAAGAGAACTATTACTCGGATTTTGCATTCAGAAAAAGCCACAGATTTTGGGTGCTGAATCCAGTAATGGACTATACCGTAGCAATGGCGTTCGTAAACTCACCAGGGACAATTTCTTTAACCAACAGCTACAGTTGTTCTCCAGTGCTTCTGTTTGTACCATCCCCCAACTTCGTGAAAAAAATTGGTAACTGCTAACATCCTTTTCCTTACTGTCGCGTCTCATGGACAGCAGTATTTTTTTCTCCTGAATCTTCCAAACTATAAAAACCCCACCAACTTTATTTTTATTCCTCTTTGGCAGAAGTTTTTTCACTGCTGTCCAAATTTGTGTTTAAAGTTTCCGTGACAATGCCTGTAAACTGGCAATAAATACAATAATAATGATACTAATAATACTAATAATAATAATTATTATTATTATTACTAAAATCTAGATGGCGGGCCTCGCGGGGTGAATACTTGTCAGAAGAAGTATAGTGGACATAAGTAAGAGGCTGGTGGCCAGTATAAATACAAAAATCTCGGCACTCGATATAATTACGAAAGTGCTTACTGGCTAAATAAATTGCAAGAAGTTCTCTACAAAAAGTACTATAGCGAGTTTGTGGGGTGTCAATTTGGTAGAGTAGAAAGCCAAGGGCTGGGTGCCAATGGGCGTCTGTTGCTGAAGGGCAGCACCTACAGTGAAATTGGAGACGTCAGTAACAATGGAAAGTGGGGCATCAATTATAGGGTAAACAAGGGCAGCTGTATCCGCAAGAATCTTCCTGGCACTATTGAACGTCTCTACAGCTGTGTCAGGAAAAGAAGACTCGCGATTGTTCCCGCGTAAAAGGTAAGTAAGTGGTAACATTTATTGAGCACAATGAGGGATAAAGCGTCGATAGAAATTGACAAGGCCTATAAAATGTCGAAGTTGTTGGAAAGACGTGGGAGTAGGGAAATCGCGAATAGCTGAAACTTTGGCATCTATGGTATGACAACCAGAAACATCTACGCGATGTCCTAGGAAAAACAGCGACTGTACACCAAAATCGCATTTAGAAACATTAATAAAAGCGCCAAATTGGCTTAATCGTTCAAAAATGAGACGTAAATGTTGTAGGTGTTTGCGTTCACTGGAACATACTACCAGAACATCGTCGACGTAGACAAAACAGGTGAGTCGCGTAGGGCTTCGATGATGAAACGTTAAAAACTTGAAGGAATATTTCCCCGGAATGAATTTAAAGCAAAAAAGGACAGCAGAATTTAATGGTACCACAAAATTTTGCGACGGCTTCTCAACTGCTGCCGGTCGTTGCATAACAGAAATAACAAGTGACAAAGGTACAAAGGTTTGAATTGCGACAGAGAAAATCAATGTAAAACAGCAAGGTCAACGAGTACTGCGCGTAGACTAATCGATAAAATGGTAACTTCAAAGTGCAACATAGGAATGAAAATGGGGAACTAGGCATGCTGTCGCGAAATTTTGTGGTACTTTTTAATTCTGCTGTCCTTGCTTGCTTTAAACGTTGAAAAGTTTGAGCGGAGTTGTGTAGCCCAAAGGGCATCCTGACAGACTCGATCAGACCAAACTGTGTTGTAATTGCCGTTTTGGGAACGTCTTCTGGAGCAACGAGAATCTGGTGGAAAGCTTTGGCTAAGTCGATCTTGAAAAATATTGTTGCTCCGGCTAGGCTAGATGAAAAGTTGTGGAGATGGGGAAGTGGATACCTGTCAGACACAGTGCAGGTGTTTAACCGTCAGGAATCCCCGCATGGGCGCCAGTTAACGAGAGACTTTTCGCACACTATATGTAGAGGTGCAGCCCATGGACTAGTGAAAGGCCTGACTATGCTTAGCTCCATCAGGTGACTGAATTCAGCCCCGGCAATAGGTAACTTATCGGCGGCTAAACGACGGGGACGGCTAAACACGGGTTGTCCAGTAGTTGAAATATAATGTACAACAAGTGCTTAATAGGTTGGTTAAGTTGTGAGGGTCTTGTGATAAACGGGAATTCCGAAAGTAGACGATGATAGGGAGTAGTCGAAGGGATTATTAAAATGCGTGGATTAGGTGATGAAAGGGTACGAGTGGAAAATTTAGAGTGTAAAGAAGTCTTAGGGTCAAATATTTTATGGGACTTGATGTCAACGCAGAGACCAAAATCAGCGCCCACAACTTGCAGGCCCAGACAGAAGGATTATCTGCAGATCAATACATCCGAAGCTTCTACAAAGGCTGAGTTGCTTTTCCACTATTAGACATTGTTTCATCATCGTCTCAAAGTATTTGTCTAAATTTCCGCCCTCGGAAGCTTCTCGACCACACCGCCCCATTCAGCTAATGAAGTTACTTTCTACCGAAAGATCGTCATAAAAGCCTTTCTTTCATGCTTAAGCCTGCGCTCTTTGTGTATATAGAAAAGTTATCTATAATGTTGGAGGCCGCACCAGTGTTTCAAAGTAACGCGCACTTAGGGTTCGAACCTGGGACCTCAGAAGTTAGAGCCAGCTCCGTTAACCCCTGCACTATCGCCGCACGACCGAAGCACACAGCTAAAGGCTTTGTTAATTTGTCAACACAGGATTGCGTAGGATATTCATGAAATGGTTGTCTAACGATAGCCTACAAGATGCATCAACTAGAGGAAGAAGTAAGAAATCTGAAGGAACTTATACACAAGATTGCTTCTTCAGAGGACCGCCCGGGGTTATCTACGCAGAGGTTAACTCGAAGTAGAGCGAGAGCCATCCAGTGTAAAGAATCCCCAGAAAGCAATCATGTGGTGAATAAGATGACTGCTGTTAGTAGGCAAACAGTGGCTTCCGATGAAAAAAAGAATAAGTAGAAGACGACACTTAGCACCACGGGGAAAATTCGCCAGAATACGAAAGAGAGTATATCGGTCTTGCCCGAAAAGCAGTTGAAAAACGAAACGACTGTAAATGTGCCAGCAGAAGAAGTGAAAGGACAGGAGCGGTTGACGCCTAATCGTAGAAATCCCCAGACAGTGTGCTCATTTCCAGAGCCTAACTTAGAGGGCTTATTAATTAGCGCAATGACATATGGTTATGGACCCACGGTACAATTAGCTGCCACCGCGAAGTCCCATGTCAGCAGAATTGAGAACCGAGCCGAGGAAGCCTCTAATTCATGGGGATCAAGCTTTCTTCAGAGCCCTGTGATGGGCCCTGTGATGCCTCAACAAGATCCGCGGACGGGGACATAAATACCAAGATGACAGCCCCCTCCTTTTCGCCAGTACACTTCGACGAGGGCAAAGGACCGGTCAATGACTTCCAAACCGCACAACACAGAGGAATGCTTAACAAGGATCACTGCATCATAATTCAGGGCCTCCCGCAGTCCTCCGCTAGTACCTCCAGGGCACGAGTCGCTGCTGACTTAGAGCAATTCCAGAAATTCCTAAATGAAATGCGGCAACCAACAGAAGATGTCACAGTCCTAAAGGAGTTTCGTCTTGGTAGCCGTACAACCGCCGCTCCACTGACGCGACCAAGACCCCTGAAAATTGTCCTAGGTGGCAATGAGCAGGCGAAACTAATCCTTTCCAGACGTTTTCGATTGAAACATTCCCATAAAGGAGTGGTTTTCAGCCGGACTACTCACCTGCCGAGAGAATGAAACGTCGCGAACTTGTCCTAGAATTGAGAACACGACAAACCAACGGAGAAAAAGACTTGACAATCTACAACGACCGGATAGTCAAACGACATTCCGCCTCCCTCTGGATCAAGCCGATCCGAATGACCGCACAGATACCACGGTAGCCTGCGTCGGGGCTGATAAAAAATCACGCATGAACTCGAAACTCATATTCGTGTATACCAACGCGCAAAGTGTAATTTCTAAACTGGATGAACTTCGTATCCTTACCCATGACCTCCACCCAGACGTTATCTCAATAACAGAAACATGGCTGCCCGAACAGATTGATGATAGAGAACTCATGCTCCCTGGATTTTAACTGTTCCGCAGAGACAGACAAAACAGGAGGGGTGGAGGCATAGTAACATTTGTTAAAAACGGCTTATACGTTTCAGAAAAAACTGCCCAATTGACTTGTAGTACGGAAGCATTGTGGCTGACCATAAGGGCACCTGGCTCTCAAGGCCTCGATATCTTGACAGTATATCGCCCCCCGAGAAATGACCCTGACGTTGATACCCAACTGCTGGAGGAGCTTAGGTTATTTTCAACGCGACCAACTACTCTCATCGCTGAGATTTTAATGTATCCCACATAAACTGGAGCTCGGCCTCAGCCGACTGCTCTGAAGCAGCATTCGATCAGCAGTTACTGCGTACCTCCGACAATCTGCTTCTAACCCAACACGTAATGTTTCCAACAAGAGTTAGAGAGGGCCAGCAAATGAATTGCCTTGATCTAGTGTTCACTAAGTCCTCTGACAATATCGACGTTGTTAATTGCCTCCTCCCGTTGGGTCAGAGTGACCATGTATTTCTCATGTGGGAATACACCTTATTCCCCCTGCCTGCATAACCGCTCGATTCCCGACCCAAAATTTGGCGCGGAGATTGCGAACAGATTAGATGGGATCTTATGTAGCGACCGAGCGGGTAGGAGACGTCGGGTCACGTGCGTAGAAGGAAGGGGAAGAGGGGAGTTTGAATTCAGACGATCCGGACGATTGGAAAAGTCGGTCTAAAATACCTTGTACTTCAGAGTGTGTGGTAGAGGGGGCACAGGCGTACGAGACATGATATAGATAACGGAAATGACAAAACGATATAAGTTTATTGTAACGTGCGAAACGGGAATATAATAATGAGATACGTAAAAACGGAAGAATATGACAGAATGACTTATTGGCGTGTTGACAGTTAATTGTCGGCACGTGGTTTTCGGAGCGTAGACTCTGCAAAAACAAAACGAAAGTAGTGCAGTCTATTCAAACCTCAAGGTAGGGTCTCTGGTCAGATCTCCGTCTGTTACACTTAGTCCTATCGACTGGCATCCACTCTATCCGGTGATGTCGAAGAGTTTTGGTGTCAGTTCAAAGAGTTAGTCCACAACCTCATCTCCAACCATTGCCCAATCATGCGCAGAAGACTAACAAATAGACCCCGCTGGCTGACTCCGTCATTAAAGAAGAAAGTTAACAAGATGAAGAAGCTGTGGAAAAGATCCCTGACTGACCGGACGCCAGAATCCCTAAGCAGTTATAAGTTATAGAGAAATCGGGTCAAAATTCTCATTGCCAGAGATCGGAAAGCCTTTGAAAAGATCTTCTGAACCCTGCCAGGGTTAATCCCAAAGTCCCCTACAGCTACATAAGACAGAGCACGCGGAACAAAGACCCCATCCCACTGCCGCGAACAGCCGAGGGAATGGAAATCTCCGATGACAAGGATAAGGCTGAACACCTCTCTCAGTTCTTCCGGTCCGTCGTGACAAGTGAATCTGATTTTTTCTCCCCTATTTTTGAAGACGAAGAAACGCCTACCCTTGAAGCCGTATTCTTCACCGAAGCAATTGTTCGGAATGAGTTACTTAATCTGAAAGAATCGACCTCTTCAGGCCCTGATGCAATCCCCGCCAGCTGAAGGAGCTAGCTCCCGAAATGTCCAAGCCACTAGCCTTGATCTTCCAAACGTCATTTCTTACTGGATGCCTGCCCTCTGATTGTAAGTCCATTACCATCACTCCGCTTTTTAGGAGCTGAAGTCCTGCGTCTGCGAATAACTACAGGCCAGTAAGCCTTACCTCTATCTGTTGCAAAATCATAGAGACGATCATTAAGAAGGCCCTGATGCAGTCTCAAGAGCAGCACCACCTACTCTGTGATGCACAACACGGCTTTCGAAGTGGTAGGTCCTGCCTCACGAACCTGCTCTTTACGCTCGAACGCTGGACCAAAGCACGCGATGAAGGTAGTGTGGTGCACGCCATCTTCATCGACTTCAAAAAGGCCTTCGACAGCGTTCCGCACCAACGTCTCTTGCACAAACTGCGCAACGCTAGAATTCGTGGAAGCCTTCTTGTATGGATCCAGAGCTTTTTGGCTGGACGGTCCCAAAGAGTGCAGGTCGGGCGTCAGCAGTCCTCAGAGGTAACCGTGGTGAGTGGCGTCCAACAGGGCTCGGTCTTAGGTCCTACGTTATTCCTCGTTTTCATAAATGACTGCGTCAAGGACTTAGACTGTGATACCATCCTGTTTGCCGACGACATTAAATTGTGGAAAGTTATTCACAATGCGGCAGACGTAGACCACCTACAAGCAAACCTGAACAGGCTCGAAGACTGGTCGAAGCGTTGGCTTATGCCCTTCAATATAATCAAGTGCAACTTTCTTCAACTAGGCAGCTTCAGAGCCTCCAGCCCCAGGACTTACTTTATAGACGGCACACCACTGCAACAGGTTGACAGTCAGAAGGACTTGGGTGTATGAATTACATCTTCACTCAAATCAACACTGCACTGCGCGAAGGCGGCTAAATCGGCTATGGCTACACTGCAACTCATTAAGCGAGCAGTTATGGCATTTGACCCAGACAGCTTTTCAAAAATATTTGGCACCTACGTGAGGGCTCATCTAGAATACGCCATACAGGCGTGGAGACCTTGGACTGTCAAGGACTATACCGTTTTGGAGAAGGTCCAGAGACGGGCGACCAAAATGACACAAGGTCTGGGAGCGCTGTCTTACGAATCCCGACTGTCAACTTTCAACCTGTTTCCGCTTTCCTACAGGCAATTACGTGGTGACCTTATACTTGCATTTCGAATTATCAACGGCCTAGACTGTTGTTTAGATCCCACTGATTATTTCACACAAGCTAACAAGCTCACTTTGCGCGGTCATCCCCTAAAACTACGCGCCGGGAAAGCAAGGATCAATGGAAGAAAGTTCTTTTTCAGTCACAGAGTGGTTGCAGCGTGGAATGCCCTGCCCACCGATGTTACAACCTCCTCCTGTGTGAATTCCTTTAAGTTTAGATTTGACGCGCATCAAGCCTCCCAGTTACCAGCCCTACATCCACTCACATAACCGGCACTAACTTAAACTTGTTTATACTACTTGTAACTAGTTAGTAACCGTTATTTATTACTCTTTTTGACTAGCTGTCAGCGATTATGTACAACACTCCTTTTTCACCTTCCCACTATCCATGTTTTTCTCCGACGACTTGTAACCAATAGGGAGTTCAAAGGCGTCGCCTATATTTCCCTTAATAAACTGAAACTGAAGTTCTGTTAGTTGCTTGGAGGAAAAATGAAGAGGTTGGTGACTTACGGTCAGCCATGGTGGGTGGGCTTAGACTGATCTCCGCACCAGTATCCACGAGAAAATTACGACAGGAACTCCTGTGATAGATGTGGAGTAGGCGACTGGGAGAGGATGAGCCGACCACATTCGTCGTCCTTTCTGGTCGGCAGGGGAGTTTTCCAACGCATATATCTTGTACTTGCGCGGAGAGTGAAAGCGATGAGCGTTAGACCCATAATTATGATGATACCAACAGAAACTATCAACTGTAGGTTGGTTTGGAGTGGGAGATCTTGGGTGGCAAGTAACTGCAGGACTACGATGGTTATAGACCAGAGTGGCCCGGAGCTGGGAAACTTCGATAGTGAGGGCATCCAGGCGTTTAATGACATTCTCCATTGTATGGGCAATTGTGCTTCGAATAGCAACGTTAACCATAACAGGAGGCTGGTAGTACTCGAGTTTACGGTTAACAGTCTCCGCGAACATCTGAACAGTCAGAGAAGGAATGTTAGGCGCAAGGATGGCTTGCACAGAAGGAGACAACCGTTGGAGAAAACGTTGTTTGAACATGTTGACATCCAGCTCTTGTCCGTCTGCCAGCTGCTCCAAGCGCTTAAGAAGCTGCGTAGGCTTCCTGTCGCTAAGGTCCTCCTCAGAAATTAAACGCTGCAGACGTTTTTGCGTTGACAGGGAAATGCGAGAAATGAGAGCCTCCTTTTGGGCAGTATAAGGTGCTTCTGTGGGCAAGCAATCTATGATGTCGCGGAGGTCGGTGGCGATATTCATTGGGAATGCTGCCACAACATAGTGAAATTTCGTATCATCCTGTGTAATCTGACGTAGGACGAAACAGGACTCTACAACGCGCAGCCACAGTGCGATGTCACCTAGCCACACGACTGTCAGGTCAAAGGTGTGTATGTCAAATGTAGGCTGTCTGGTAGAATCGTTGGACATAATTGGCCGATGTCGGTTAGAGGTCAGAAAATTGGGGTAGATGACTGGCGCGTTGACAGTGAGATTGAAGCGTAGCACTCGTACTGGATGAAAAGATGAGACAGCGTAAATAGCAAAAAAGGGCTAAATAAGTAATCTGATTATTAACAAGTAAAGTTAGGATTAATCCAAGTGGAACTAGTTATACACAGAAATAATACAGAAGGGGCTATGAACGATACAGGGTCACCGGTGTAAGTCATAAATAAATAAGTCAGTTTGAGTCAGTTTATTAAGGGAATGAGGCTTCCGTCCCTGAGCTCCCTATTCGTATCGATAAACGGAAATAGAATCAATAATTACATCAGCAAATGCGAAAAATTCAATATGTAGCAGTAAGTGTTAGCCAGGCGCAAAATGCCGCCGCTAAAACAATCGTGATTATATGTACAGCAGAGAGGGAGATCGAGTTTGAGGTCTAGTAGCCTATTGCTGAAAGAAGTTGGCCCACCGTTGACTACCACACTTTCCCTCTCTATTGCAGGTGCGTTGAAATCCCCTGCAATAAATACCTCTTGGTGGCTAGCGACGCCTATGACTAAACCAAGGAGCGACTCATCAGCTGCACTCAGAAGGTTTGGCGGTCTGTAAATCGCGAGGAATTCTAGATTTTGTGCATTTCTCTTCTTTATCTTTATCCAGACGGATTCATATTTAAGGGAGAGTGTGTGGGCTCGTTTAGCTGCCAAAATTCCTGCCCTTACATACAGGACTACCCCACCGCCCCGTCGATGTAGACGGTTTCTACGAAAGAGCTGGTAACCCGGTATCGAAATCTCAGCATCCACGATTTCGGCATTAAGCCAAGTTTCCGTTATGACGATGATGTCGGCGATTTGTTCTGAAACTATCGCTTTGAGTTCGTCGATTTTCGAAACGAGACTTTGAGCATTGGTATAAAAAAATCTCAATTTGGCACGAACAACTGCGGCGTACAAGCGTTTATCCATTTCATGGGATTGAATGCAAAAGCCGGTAGGAGCTGATCGGGATGAACTGCTTTCCATCACTCCTAAGCTGTACGAGCTTTGGACTTTCTCCAGAGGAATGGCTTCTGTATGCGCATAATTTTTCCGTCCAGTATTCTGAGATTTGTCTCACCAAGACTCGACCACCTAAGGACTTCCAATTTGAGCTCCCTCCATTCTTTCTGCTCCGTAGGTGAAAAGTATCGCTGAAAAAAACTGATAGATGGACATTTTGAAGCGCAGATTCCCTGCTTAACAGTTGCTGCGCTTGTTTGTCATTCTCATGGACAATTTTTAGCGGTCTCGGTCGGTCTAGTTCATGTTTTATTTATATGATTTATAATTTCTATTAAAAACCCATCGGGGTCCCATCAAAGCAAGCAAAAATAAATGTACACACGAATTTTAGACAAGGAAGGCCGAATCTATATAAAATGCAATTTATAGTATCTGAATTCGTAGTTTGTTAAAAAAATGATGAGCGAGCAGTGAGAAAACTCCACTTAAGAACTTTAAAATGCTTGGATTAATTTTACGGGAGAAAAAACCGTCACTCATAATAACACGAAAATGCGGGCAGGACTGGACTTCATGTGGCGGTGTATTACGGATTATAATCGGGCATCGTCAGGGCAGAAATAAATGTCAGCCTTGAGGGATACGTATGCGGGTCAGACAGGACTGGTCTGCATGTGGTATTGCATTCGGGATTCAGAACTGACATCGTCAGGGCAGGATTGATACATTGGATGGGACTGTTCGCGTCAAGGTGGCCAAACGAGAGGAACTCAGACATGATCGGCCGCAGTCCGCCTGGAGCCCAGCCGAGGAGTGGGGAAGAGAGGTACGACCAAACTACTAGCAGACGACGAATACAGGGGGTTCCGCCGTGAGCGTCAAAAGACCGCTGGAGGTCGAAATGAGGGAGATGACATCAAGAACCGCGAAAATCGTCGCTTTGGGGGAGGAGTGGTAACAGTGGATTTAGTAACCAATCTAAAACACGGGGTTGTAAAAGTGCAAGTGAGTTTTTCCACTTGACCTAGCACTAAATCCCAGGACGACCGTTTTCGAAGTCAAGAAGCTGAGTGTTCGGGAATGAGACCGTTAAAAGTGCCTTTATACTTTCTGGTGTAAGGTGTTTTCGTAATTTCGACTTAAAAACCAGTAGTTTAGGCGATGACCTAATTTCTGGTAGAAGATTATTCCAAAGCAAGGCATATTTGGAAGCAAAGAAGAGTGAGCGCTTAGATGTTGTGCAAAGAGACGGTGGAATCACCATGGAGGATTTGCGCGTGGCATAAGATCGATCTCTCGGAGTGAGAGTTTCAATGAGCGGAAGACTAAAGTTAGAGTTAATGGAAAAAAAGAAAACTAAGGCCAGCTTCGAGTCTTCTAACCCACAAATGCTTAAGGCTCACCAGCTGACATCTCCGAGTATAAGAAGTGCCAGATGCGACTTGAGAAGACAGTTTCCGGGTGCAAAACCTCTGAACATTTTCCACAAACGTTCATTAAACCAAAAAGGACAGCAGTATTCGAGGACTAAAAGATCAAACATTTGATAAAGTCTTAGCTTCATTTCCGGAAGGAAAAAAATATGCGATAATAATCCACATATCTGTGTGTCTTTGGTAGTGATTCTATCTGCATGAGTTGATAAAGCATGTTTATTTGTATAACGTAGACCTAGGTCCTTTATGGTGAGGCATTCGGAGAGTGGGTTATTGTTAAAAATTATGGGATCAGGAAGTTTGGCAGGACCAAAAGACATCAAACTATACTTGGATGGTGAAAACTCCATCTGCCATGTCGAACCCCATCTGCTTAAGCGTAGTAAATCGGAATTAATTTTTTCAACACAAAAATTTGTGGCGTCCCTAGAATATGAGTAAACACACTTGAGGTCATCGGCATAAATAAAAGTCTGCGAATTCCTGATTTCAGTCGAAATATCATTGATGTAAAGAAGGAAGAGTAGCGGGCCCAGAGCCGTGTCTTGAAGTACGCCACTCGTGATCGAGTGAGGTGTCGAGTAGCTATTACCGACCATGACTTTCTGATATCGGTTGAACAGATTGGACCTGATGAAGTCGAGTAGAGGCGGCCGGATGCCGAGAGCTTCTAATTTTACTAAAAGACATTTTGTGACCACGCTTAGAATTGGATCGATGACGGAAGATGTTAACGACGGATTTGGTAGGGTTCGAATCACCGAAGGCAAGTGCTTCTCTTTGTCTGTCGCGCGCTTGGCGCATCCTTGAGGCCATTTCAAAAATCTCTGTGATCCTAAGATGAACTAATAAGGAACTAGTGGATAGGTCATGCAGTTGTCGTCTCAAAGTTTTTAGTCTGTTGTGAAGAAAATGGGGAACAAGGGAATCTGAAAAAGTAGACTTGAGATATCTACGCGGCACAAACTCTAGGAAGTCCTTGGAAGCATTGAACATGACGTCACGAAGAATGGTTGCATCGCTGCAGGAGAGGAAGCCACACGCATCCAAAGATCTAATATAATTATCTTTTAAGTCATTATCCACGCAATCGTAATTTAGGTAATTCCGAACCGTGCTAGTCTTTTTTGAGCAGGCAAGCGGTAAGCAACAATGTATTAATACGTGGTCACCATCAAAGAGGTGCTTTTTGAAAGCATTGTGTATATCTAAAATGCGAGTATCTGTTGTTGGAGAGCGCACTAATTGGGACCAGTTAGAAAAATTGAGAATATATTGAAAGTGCTGGAGTCTACGTGGACAGATCTTGGAAACCCAGTCAATTTCAGGAAGGTTAAAATCCCCAGTGATTATTTTGACATCAAAAGCAACTTCCGAAATTAATTTAAAGATTTCACAGAGTCGTGAATCATCGCTGGCTGAAGATTTTGGGTGATTGTAGATACAGCCAATAATTGCCTTTCTTTGTGGCGAGAGGATAACAGATGCAAATCAGAAGTTCCTCGTGAATGAGGAGACATCCAGGTAACAGGGAGAGTGCTTTAATTACTCAATTGCTACCCGTGTTTGCAGATGCTCCCGAGACGATATTTTTTCGCGCATTTTTCGTTTTGCTCCTCCTTTTTAGATTTTGACACTGGTGACATTCTGGTCATCAAGGTTCTGCGCCCGGGCGTCCTTAAGTCAGTAAGCTCGTTTTCAGGCCGTTTTACTTTGATTTGGATATATGTGAACCCACTAAAAGTATCGTCCTCGTACCTCACACTTTTCGGGGTAATTACACTTTTGGCACTGTTTTCTGGTCGTTGGCTGGAGACGCAGACAGAGCGAGCGCAGATTCTGGATGCGAAGGACGTCTCAGTAGACTTATTTCCAAACGAGGTGCCGGCGCTGGCCGTACTATTGCAGTTAAATTGCTGAGACTCCATAAACTTTGACACGAGCGAATAGGTGTATTTTCACTTTCGAGGTTATAACGGATACGTCGGATTGCATACGACGAGTTGAAGTGAGTATTCAATACTCAGCAAACGAAATAAATACTCAGAATGTGATTAATTATGCGAAATTTAATCAGAAACGACTTAACCCTTTGCAGATGTCAGAGGACTTGAATAGCTTAAGACCTTGAAGAGTTTTGAGCGATTGTTTTCTAGGGTGTAAATAACCGCGAAATGGCTGCGGGGTCAGTTGAACCGTGCTAATAAACAAATTGCTCTTGACTCAGTTTCCTCATGAATTTCAACGCGTGAAAAAAATATTCCGAAAATGCACAAAGTAAATCTGTACGTACGGTTCCAGTGTCTATGATGTCAGAGAGGATAACTGTAAAGTGGTAACCAAGACGAAATAGTCCCAGTTGAAGCGCAGAATAATTCCGTTGTGCTCAGTCGGGCTCTGTCAATTCAGTTATTGCATACGGCCGGGATGAAGCTCGTTCGAAAGTGAGCATCCCGTTGTGACTGAAATATCTTGGGACCATGCCTTACGACAATAAATTGCATAGACACACTTAAGTGATCTTTTCGAGTCGAAACAC